AGTCCATCATCACAAATTGTAAATCAAGTGTAGAACTCGAGGCAACTCCTCAAGTTCTCAAATTCTTTTATTACTTAAAAAAAGAAAATCTTTCATTTTCTAGTCTGGAACTTAATGAGGTCCGGCCTCACTTGGAAATGAACGGGCGGCGGCAAAAAAAAAAAGAAGAAAAAAACAAAAAAAAACGCGAAAAGAGAGAAAAAAAATACTATGATGCCCTGCTCTCGGTGTTTAGACGACCATGGCTCAATCCTCGGGCAAGGAAATGATCAAACTATTTTCTAAGTCTAGGAATAGCTTCTCGGTCATGGCGACCATAAGACCGGCCTCCGGTTCGAAAAGGTATGCGAGAGGTCGTGCCCCGAGACCCTCTTGTATATCCGTTGTCTGACGTTGCCGTCTAAACAGCTCGCATGCACGTATGATCCAATCAACAATGCGGCAACTATATTCGTACATCAGTTGTCTAACGTTTCTAGGCTTAGCAGCCCGCATACGCGCTTGACAGGATCAACGGTGCGGGTCCGTTCTGGTCTGATCATGTAGGGCCTTGCCCTTACGTTTGGCCAACTTCAGTTCGACTTTCAGAAAGGGAATAGCCAAAATGTTTCCTAAGTATGAAACTAGTTGTACAAGTCAAGATGTAAGACCGGCCTCCGGGTCGAAGGTATGCGAGAGATCAGGCCCCGAGCCCCTCTCGTACATCCGTTGTCTAACCGATGGCCGAACAGCTTGCACACTCATCAGTCATAGATCAATAGTCTGCGGGTCAGCCCGCCTTACCAAGCAGGGTGCGGTCAAGGTCGGTCCTACCAACCTTCCGCCCCTGACGGCCTAGGTGGGAAGCCAGATCCCCGATTAGTTCTCCAAGTATTCTTGAATGAAAAACGACTAAGAAAATTGAAAGAACGAATGATGCATACAAGCTCAGGCGATAAATCAATCGCGGAGAACAACTCCAAGATCATCATTGCACATCTTCTCCGCCTCATCATGGGTAGTCTGCATATCATGCATGCCACATCTAAAAGAGAACAAGGCCTCCTTTCGCGCCAATTGCAACCCTCCTTGGTCCGCAACTGAGCTTGGACATACTCCGGACGCCGATCCTCGATCCAAGAATTGACAAGGTTCGGAAACTTTAGGAAGACCTTGAACATGGAAACTGCCTCATCTACTATGTCCTCAACGCTCGAACATGCTTTGGTGGCCGGGCCTCGAGCCTAGATCTTGCGAACTCTGAAATCACTGGGAATGCTTTAACGCTGCAACTACCTTATGCCTTGCATCTCAGGACAACGACTTCAGCTGGTCTTACTTTGATACAGGCTCGGATGAAACTTTCATATCTTTGGTCGCAGCCATGCTTGGGTATGCTTCGATCATTTTCTCCAAGGCAAGATGTGCACCTTCAAGGCATCCTATGTTTTCTCCATCCACTCCTGAGCCTAGACTACCTGAAGCTGGTTCAAGTTCTTCTTTACAATTCAAACCTAGTACGTGGTCATGGCGAGGCCACCGATCATCACCTCACCATCCATGTCGAGTCACGCACACTCATCTCCAGCCCAAGTTCGTGCAGGGCTACCTCCAAGTCAAGTTCGTCCAGGGCTGCCCCCTCACCGAGGTTGTGTGCGCGTGACAGTGCATGGCTTACGTATGGGCTCATCGATAGGTGAGAGCCCGCCCAAGCTCCGAGCTCGGGACTCTCACTCATAAGAATAAATCATGGTCGGTCACACATGCCATCACAAGGTGGAGATTCCGTAACTTGCGCATCTTCTACGTCAAGCTCGTCATCCTGGTATATGGCCATGTTTGTGCAGAGGAACGAGATTGTCTATCTTTCCAAACCACCTACGATCAAGCGATGCTCTCACAATGTTAGAGAGGCACGTATCGATGCATAGCTTGGAAGCCCGAATTCAATCACATGCCACCCTCGTTAATAATCATTCATCAAGATGAAGCAAAGTGGAAGTCTTGCCTTCCTCACCATCCATGATGTTCAGAGACCATTAAGATGACATGTCACTCCGACCTCCCTCGAATCGCAGCAGGTGGGGGGCACCTCGGGCTCCTCGTCACACGAGAAAATAGGTGCAACCCTCCGATCACTGGCATGAATGAGCAGACCTACAAAAGAACTCTCTCATCGATTCAACAAACGACAAGGAATGAGTCACCCAAGCATTGCTCTCTTTCCCTGAATCAATTCAAGGGGTCGTCCAAGCATCGCTCCCTTACTCTGCATTAGGGGGTCCCCCCTCCAAGCATCGCTCTCAGTCTGGGATCTTACATCCACCCTGGGGAAACTTGAACGACAAATGACACCGTAGTAATAGCAATCAATAGGGACTACCCATCCTAGTACTTCTCTCGCCCAAGCACACTTAACTTCGGAGTTCTGATGGGATCTGGTGCATTAGTGCTGGTATGATCGCACACTCACAGCATCCTTCTTAGAACGTCAGACGAGCATTGTCACAAGTGAAGACCGCTATTTGCCATTCCCTTAGCAGATGGCGATCGTTGCAACTTCACGCAGTGCTCGGAGGGCTCACCTTGTTGCTGAATTTGGAAGAAGACCCTGGACTGCTAATCGGATAGACAAGACCCCGGGCTGCTAGACGGAGAAACAAGACCCCGGTCTGCTAGTCGGAGAAACAAGACCTCGAGCTGCTAATCTGACAAACAAGACCTCGGGCTGCTGGTCGAACAAACAAGACTCGGACTGCTACCCAGACGAAGGAAACCAAATCCTTTCGCAAGCAGCGGGGAATAATGTGGACAACGTGCAACCGGCTTTTTCAGAGCATGCTTCACCTGATCACCATCAGCGGACAACTGAGCTGTTGGCCTCTCCCGAGCACACCTCAGCTCGACATCATCTACAGACAGTTGAGCCGTTGGCCTCTCTCGAGTACACCTCGGTTCTGCGTCATCAACAGACAATTGTGCAACTAGTCTCTCCCGAGCATACCTTGGCTCGACCGCCTCCACTGGCAAACAACCGTAGGACTGGCCTTCTCGAAACATATCTCAACTTACCAGTAAAGCATACACTCAATCAAGAACCGAGGAGACTAGCCTTCCTTTGCTTTATTTTAAGATTCCGGTGTACTCTTTTTCCTTTACTGGGATTTTTTCCCACTGGGTTTTTTCCTAGTAAGGTTTTAACGAGGCACCCCCTCATCATGAACAAAAGAAGACGTCTCCCAGTCGGAACAAGGAAGACTCCATTCTTTCACAAGCAATTGGATCTAATTCAAGGCTCACCAATGACCGACCGACCGGACCAAGAATCGGACCAATTCCAAAACAGCTTAACTACTCCCTTTTAGCCGAGTCTACTACTCGACTAAGGGAGTGGGGGACTCGTGTTGGGATAATGGGACGGGTCCAAGACTATCGGCCCATTACACCCGAGCTTTGGCTCGACCAAGCTCACATCACAGTCCGGCTAGCGGATATTGGCCCGGGATTATTCAATTACTTATTGAGCTTGCTGGCCCATTAGCGTTAGTAATAGTAGATTAATCGGGCCAGACCCACGTAGCACTTAATTGGTGGGCATATTGTATACGTCTATAAATAGGCCATCAACCCCTTGTATTCTGCTAAGTTATTCTCACTATACTGAAATGCTGCCGAATTCTCTACCCGGGTTATTTTCTACCAACAGATGCCTTTCCCACCGCCTGTACTACCTCCCTGCACCACCATCTCTAGGCGGTGAAAATATGTCACTTTTCCTAAAAACTGCCGTTTTTTTCTGAAAATGCCAAAAACATGGCATATTTCTCTTTGAGAATGCCAACATTTTCATTGTTTTCTGCCATAAATGTGGCATTCGTAATGAACTTGGCATTTTTTCCCCCTAGTGACTGGAGGTGGTGGTGCAGAGGTGGCGGTAAATTTTATTTTATTTTTTTGAGTTTTTTATTTTTTTATTTTTTTTTATTTTTTTTGAAAATAAATAAATAAATTATTATTATCGAAATATTTTTATTTATTTATTAGTATTTTTTACGAATTTTTATAATTTTTTATTATTTTATTATGAATTAAAACATTTCAATAGCTATAAGAGTATATTTGTTCAAGACACACATAATTAGTCCTATGAAAACATAGTTTATTTTTTGTCCTATTTGTGCAAAGTGACTGACTTTTAGTCATATTTTGATAATTAACTCTGTTATTAATTGTTTGCTACAAAAAAAAGACAAAAACGAAAAATCACTGAGTAACTTTTTCATAGACCTGGACAAAACCGGCCCGGCCCGCCCGGCCCTTCCAGCCCGCTCGCACAAATGGGCGGGCTTGGGCATATATATTTACCCACCGGGCCGGCCCTAGCCCGACCCGCAATAAGATATGGACATGCTTGGGTTAGGGTGTAGGCCCGTTCGGGCTGATAAGCCCTGGCCCTCTACATTTAGTATATATAAATATATATACTAATATATTTATTTAAAGTTTATTATGTTTAAAGTTAAATTTTTAGTTCTTGACAACTAGCCCAACCAATATAATATCTATTTTTGTACTTAAAGATAATACTTTGTGCTTAAATTTTAAATTTTAGATATAATTTCTCATTATTTTTTTTGTGTAAATATTTTTTTTGTATGTGGTGAAAGACGTATAAACATTATAAGCGTGTTAATTATTTTCTAAATGTTGTAATATTATTTTTAAAGTATTTAAAAAATCATATAATTTTGAAAGAATTAAAGTATTCCCGAGCCGGGCGGTCCGGTGAACTACCCGGCCCGCTCTTATGGGCGGGTTTGGACATAGGGTTAGACCCGTTTTTGCGGGCCGGGTCGGATCCGCTCCCACATGATGAGCAGAAAATTTATAAAATACCCAGTCATATCTCACCCCAATCCCTTTTTGTACGTTTTTGTACAAATCTACTTGAGTTTTTCGGAACGAGTTTTTGATCCTATTTAAGACCATTCCTCTAAAACTAAACCGCCATTTTCTTCCCAGCTCCCACCAGTCTAACTCTTCAAAAAGAAAACCTTTGCTGCTCGACTATTCCTTTTCCGTCAATGGCCTTCAAGGTTACTGCCTTCATCCTATTCTGTTGTCTTCATCATAGCATAGCTGAATCCATGGAGGTAGCACGCAGAGAACCCGTTGTCGATGCGCCACTTATCTCCTCCTACAACGACCGCATAAGACCCTTGCTTGACTGCGTAGATAAACTGCGTCACTTGAATATAGCGCAAGAGGGGATTCAGCTTCCGACGATCGTGGTCGTCGGAGACCAGTCCTCCGGCAAGTCCAGCGTCCTGGAGTCCCTCGCCAGAATCAGCCTTCCTAGAGGACAGGGGATATGTACCAGTCCCGCTCATTATGCGGCTAAAAAATATCCCTAATCTCAGCGAGCCGGAGCTCCATCTGGACTTCAACGGGAAGGTTGTTCAAACGGATGAAGTAAATGTGGCCGATGAAATCGTGCTGGCCACAGATGAAATTGCCGGGAGGGGTAAAGGGATTTCTCGGACCCCGTTAACTTTAACAGTGAAGAAACACGGTGTCCCGGATTTAACAATGGTGGATTTGCCGGGAATCACTAGGGTTCCTGTCCACGGCCAGCCGGAGGACATCTACGAACAGATCTCTGGTATAATCATGGAGTATATCACTCCAGAAGAGACGATTATTCTTAATGTGCTGTCAGCCGCCGTCGATTTTACCACTTCTGAGTCGATTCGCATGTCCCAGCAAGTGGATAAAACTGGGGAGAGGACGCTGGCTGTGGTGACGAAAGTGGATCTGGCACCCGAAGGGCTTCTGGAGAAGGTTACTGCCGATGACGTAAAAATCGGTCTAGGTTACGTCTGTGTTCGAAATCGAATTGGGAGTGAAACGTATGAGGAAGCCAGAATTGAAGAAGCAAAGCTTTTCCAGACTCATCCCTTGCTGTCAAAGATTGAGAAGTCCATTGTTTCTGTTCCAGTGTTGGCCCAGAAGTTGGTGAGAATCCAGGCTAATATAATCTCCAAATCATTGCCTGAAATTGTTCGGAAGATCAACTACAAGCTAACTGCAATTGTGGCTGATCTGAACAGATTGCCTCAAAATCTCAACACAGCACCTCAAGCTGTGACTGCATTCTTCCGAATTCTCAGTGATTATGGTGAGTCTCTGAGGAAGATTCTCATCAGAGGGGAGTTTGATGAATACCCGGATGACAAGGAAATGCACTGCACTGCCCGACTGGTGGAAATGTTGAATGATTACTCTGGTGAGCTGCATGCATATTATTTCAACTTTGAACGCAATGATTTCTTGATGGATGAAATCATGGCCTTGAAGGAAGCCAAGGAGATTGGGCTGCCCGGTTTTCTCCCACATGGCATCTTTCTGAGTGTTTTGCAGAAACGGGTGAAGGGTATTGCTTCAATGCCGCAGGACTTCGTTGATAAGTTTTGGGACTACATTGAAGGAATTGTTGTTAAAGTTCTAATGCATCATTCAGACAACTACCCTCAGCTTCAGTCCTCCATGAGACGGGCTGCCCAAAATGTGATTGCCAAAAGAAAGGAGAAATCTTCTGATTGGGTGAAGGAAATCATTGGAATGGAGATGCTGACCGATTATTCTTGCAACCCCGAGTACACGACAACGTGGAAAAAACTCTTGGAAAAACAACCCGAGTTCCTTGAGATTTTGAATGACAACAGCTCCAAGGGTTCAAAGATCATGAGCATAGATGGGGAGGAGGTTGAGATCAGGAATCTTAGACATCACGGGGATGTGGTCAAGGAGGCCTTTGATCTGAGGATGAGAGTAATAGCGTATTGGAAGATTGTTACGATGAGGCTGGTCGATGCGATAGGGTTGCACATTCCTTACAGCATTAAGGAGCTGGTGGATGATATGGAGGATGAGATTGTTGCTGAAGTGATGGCGCCTCAGGGAGGCGGCATAGAGCGGATGTTGGAGGAGTCTCCCATTGTGTCTGAGAAGCGGCAGCGCTTGACTAACAGTCTAAAACTGCTTAAGGAATCTAAGGATGTTGTGGCTAATATAATGGGTCGAATTGTGCTGAATAATGATGCCAAGTAGTAGTTACCTTTGGAAGCTCTGTGTAGCATTGTCTGTTGTACGTTGGTTTTGGATGTTCATTTAGGACTTAGGATGTTCTAAATGATTGAATGGAAGTTCACTATAAAGTTATAAATTTCTCTTTTTATTCGTCATCCAATTTATAGGATTATATACTCCGTAGTTCTTTCATCAGTCATCCAATTAATTAGTCCCAGCCTAAAATTAGAAAACAATTGTGCTCTTTTATTATTTTAATTTTTAATCCCAAGTTCTCAATCAGGAAAGAGCATACATATATTATAGCTACGCTATTTAGTAACCTATGGGTTACCAATTCCCCTTAAATTTGTACACACGTTTCTCACCATCATATGTTTATTACTATAATCTGTATTTACGTTTTTATTGTTTATAGCTGCGCTATTTAGTAACCTATGAGTATATTTTTTTTCCACTGTTTGGTTTCTCTTAAAGTTTAAAAAATGTTACATTTACTATAATAATCTGTATTTACGTTTTTATTGTTTATAGCTGCCCTATTTAGTAACCTATGAGTATATTTTTTTCCCACTGTTTGGTTTCTCTTAAAGTTCAAAAAATGTTACATTTACTATAATCTGTATTTACGTTTTTATGGTAGATTCATTTGTGTTACCGTATAAAGCTAGACTTTTTTTTAACATTTAACATATCCAAAATAAAATAAAATAAAATAAAATAAAATAAGCACTTAGAGTATGTTTGACAACTCATTGTAGACATTTGTGCAAGTTTTTTTAATAACCCTTAACTTAAGAGTTTAGAGCATGTTTGACAAATCGTAGCTATTTAATAAAAGATTATTATTTTAGTTCACTTTTAAACAGGTGAGAGTTTAAAAGATTGTTTAATTTAGTTCTATTTGGGACAAATTTGGTTATTCTTGTTGATTTGGTAATAGTCAGTTCGGTCTATTTCAAGATTCAAAACTTATTGGTACTGGTCTTCTATCAGTTTATGATAATCTATATTCACTTGATATAAATACCTCATATAACGAAACCTTGCATGTAACTACTCGTGGTACTAAAAGAAATTTAACCAAGGATCGGAGAATTCATTTTCACTTTGGCACAAGCGTCTAGGACATATTTCTAAAGAAAGGATTCAGAGACTTGTGTCAGATGGAATTCTTGATTCCCTTGACTCCTCAAATTCGGATATTTGTGTTGAGTGCATTAAGGGAAAACAAACGAACAAACGGAGATTAGGTGCCGAGAGAGCTTCAGATCTATTAGAATTGATATATACAGACATTTGTTGACCATTCCCTACACCATGTAGAAATGATCAAACATATTTTATCACATTCATAGATGATTACTCTCGTTATGGTTACCTTTATCTCATTCATGAAAAGTCCCAATCAATAAACGTGTTCAAATCTTATAAGGCCGAAGTTGAAAATCAATTAGGCAAAAGAGAAAAAACTGTTAGATCTGACCGTGGTGGTGAATACTAGGGTAGATATGATGGTTCCGGTGAACAACATCCATGGCCATTGATGGAGTATATGGCCCGGGAACCCCCGGCCCACAAACTCCTACTACTCCATCAAAGGCCCAACAGGCCCAAATCACAGCGCCCAGAGTACCAAGCAGTCCGCACAACGCACAGGGGTGCCTTCGGCCCCCTGGCCGAAGGCTCCAAATTATCACAGAGCGGGTTTCTCAAGCAAACTAAGAAACTGGGAGAAAACGGCGAAAACAGCAGCCCTCGGCACTGTGAGCCCTCGGCACCAGGGGGCCATCGGGAGGAAGAGCCCTCGGCTACTGCTCTATAGCCGAAGGCATCTCACTCGACAAGGTATCCGCCTCACATGCGTACAGATCACCGTACTCTGCACAGACGTCCCATCCAACAGCCGCATTAAATGCGGCCACATGCGGCTGCCAGCGCCAACCAGTTGAGGTGACCCCTCGGCCAATGAGCGCTTGACACGTGTCCCTGCCCGGCATTTATTGCTGCTATAAATAGCACCCATTTCCTCATTTGTAACCAGGCTGAAAAGTCATAACACGCTTAACACACTGAATATACTCTCTCTCTACTTTCATCTACTTGCTCTGACTTCTCTCTAGATTACTTCCCGCAATAACCCTTCGGATATATACCCCCGGGTAGACTGTCCATCATTTGGTGCTCTCGTTGAGAGCCTGAACAATCAAGTAAGAGACCCTCCCCCTCGACCAAACACAAAACACTAGCCCTCCATCAAAATGGTGAGGACAACACGTGCCAACTCAAAGAACGTGGAAGACAAGAACCTGCCCCTCGGCGACGTCAACGCCCCCGAAGCCTCTCACAGGGCTCCCGAGGGCGGTGTCATCGCTGGGCTGGAACAGGCGGCTGTCGACCTACGCCTTCAGATCCAACAAAATGTCCCCGATGCCCGCCTCGGCATCGAGGCCAAGAAGAAAAACCGGAGCGATGACCAAGTCAGTCCTCCGGTTCTCACCATCGACGTACAATCGGCGCTCTCCGCCTTCATCCAGACGCTCACCCAGAACCCGGGTGCCTTCGGCACCCTGGCTCCAGCTCGCCCTCAGATCGGGGAAAATATCATACTTCCCCCTCTGCCACACCCCTTCGGAAATCCCACCCCTCGGGTGCGAAACGACGAAGGGGTGGTGGCCCAAGAAACATCCTCCCAGGAAGTTCAGTCCCGGGACCGCCATAATGACAACAGGGAGAGGCCCCGTACTTCCGCCCTCAACCGGCTCGGAGGAGGGCCAGACCGCCGAGGGGTCCAAGACCGCCTCGGGGGGAAAGCACTCCAAAGGCCCCAGGAAAGCGGGGGATCTGTTTCGAGGGCAGACGAGGAGCGTCCCCCTCGGGACAAAGGCAAGGCACCCCTTCATGCCGATGATGCTCCGCACCAAATCAACCAGGCCCACTCGGCCCGGGTTCGTTCGCGGGGGGCGGAGACCCTCCCGAGGGACCCCCGGGACGAGATTATTGCGGCCCTCCAGCGCCGGCTTGACGAAATGGAGTCCAACAAAGCTCACGCCACCACCTCCACCCCTCACTCAGATCTCAAATACGAGGCCATGATGGCCAAAATGGAGGAGTTACAGAAGAAGGTGGCCGAGGGCTCCGGGGAACCCGTCATCTAGCTCCGGACTCGGACGCCATTTACCCCAAGGGTATTGGCGGCCCGGATCCCGGATAAATACCGAGGGCAACACATACAGCCCTACAGCGGGAAAACGGACCCCCAGGAACATTACAGCAAGTACCAGAACAGCATGATGATGGTGGGGGCGTCAGACGAATATTTGTGTCGTTGGTTCCTCTCCACCTTAGAGGGACCAGCATACGAATGGTTCAACAGGCTGCCCGAGGGCTGTATTGATTCATGGCAAGAACTCGCCCAGCGGTTCTTGACACAATTTGCCGGGAGGCGTCGCACAAGGAAGCACTTCTCCCACCTCCTAACAATACGCCAGAAGAAGGATGAGACCCTTCGGGATTTCCTGGAGCGCTGGAGGACGGAGGCCGACAAGGTCGACGGTGCTGATGACGGGACCCTCCTGGCCCTCCTACAAACCGTCCTCCGCACCGGCAACTTTTCAAGGAGCCTCATCATTGAACCCCCCGCGACTACATAAGGGCCTTGCAGCGGGGGGACCGATATGCTGAGGCCGAGGAGGTGGAGAAGTATCACCAGCATCCGGACCAGCAGCCCCCGAGGGCAGACAACAAGCACAACCGAGGGCCGGGGGCTCCTCCAAATCGCCCCAAGGCTTCGGGACCCTCTGATGACCGCCCTCGGCAAGGCCAAGCCAAGCCCGGGGGAGGTTATAGGAGCAACCCTAAGACTTGGGCCCAGCCCATTCTCCTGGACCGCCCTCGGACCCCATTGACGCACCCCGTCAGCATCATCCTCGATTTTGCCGAGGAGAGGGGCCTTGTTGAGCGCGACTCTCGCGCGCCCCCGGAGGTGCACGCTATCAACCCTCAGTTCCCATACTGTCGCTTCCATCGACACCAGGGGCACAGGACCGATGACTGCCATCAGCTGAAGACGGCCATCGAGAGATTAATACAGGCAGGGCACCTGTCCCAGTTTGTCCAGAGCCCTCGGCAGGAGGGACCTTCTCATCAGGGACCTCCCCGAGGGCATCATACGAAGGTAAACGCCTGGGTGAATCCGAACACCATCCCCCTCGGCAAGAAGAGGGAGATCGGAAACTTGGAAGAAGAGGAGGAGGAGTACCCCCACTACCAGGAGAAGAAACACCACATCCTCATGATCACCGGTGGCAATACAGGGGGCGATTCCACCAGCCAGCGGAAGAAGTGGGCTCAATCGCTTTACGTAGGGGAAGTCACTCATATGCCCCCGGTAAAGCGATTGAGGGAGGAACCCATCACCTTCACCAACGCAGATCTCCCTCCTACTTCTTCTCCTCACAGGGATGCCTTGGTGATTCGGACGGAGATCAACGACACCATCATTCACCGAACTTACGTTGACACGGGCAGCTCCGTCAATGTAATGTACCTCAGCACCTTCAGAGAGCTGCATCTGGAGCGGGGGTCCCTTCGGCCCATTAAGACCCCTCTTGCCGGCTTCACCGGCGACACTATTGATTCCGAGGGGGTAATAACCCTCCCGGTGATCTTCGGCGACGGGCTCCATAGAGCCCAGCTCGAGGTGGAGTTCGTCGTCGTCAACATTGACTGCGCCCACAACATCATCCTCGGTCGGCCAGCCCTCGAGGACCTCGAAGCCATCATCTCCATGAGGCATCTCTGCCTCAAGTTTCCCGCCGAGGGGGGCATTGGCTACTCCCGGGGGAATCAAAAAATTGCCCGCGCCTGCTATCTTCAGGTCACTAAGAAGGTAAGCAAGACGGAATTCCGTGTTGACACCATCACCGGAGCCGTTGACCAAGAGGAAAGAAGGCCGAGGGCTGAACCGGCCGAGGACGTAGAAGACTTTGCGCTCGATCCGGCCCAGCCGGAGAGAGTCGTGAAGATTGGAGCCCGGCTCCCTGAAGATTTGAAGACCGGTATCACCGACGCCCTCCGCGCCTACTCCACTGTCTTTGCATGGGGGCCGGAGGACA